TTTGTACGTCTTTTAGAATCTTCTCAAGGTCTTAGCTCTGCATACCAACCCAGCACTAACGGGGCTTCTGAAAGAGCCAATGCGATGATTGAGAGATATTTGAGATCATACGTCTCTTATCAACAGCGAGAATGGGCTAATTTACTGCCATTTGCTGAAGTAGCATATAACAATGCCATACATGAAAGCACAGGATATAGCCCATTCCAAATAGTAAATGGGATAGAATTTGTTCCAATCCCCGATTTACAGTGTGATGATCAACATCCTATGAGTGTCAAAATGTGGTCGAAAAAAGTACAGGATAGTTGTGATAAAGTAAAAGAGACTCAATAAAACAGCACTAGAATACAAACAATAAGCAGACAAGAAAAGAAAAGAGTATAAAACATTCCAACCTGGAGATTATGTGTACTTATGAACTAAATATATAAAATTACACTTAAATAGTCTCAAATTAGGACCAAAATATATTGGACCTTTCCAAATTACGAGAGTGATAAACCCCGTAACTGTAAAACTTAAACTACCACCACGGTTACACCAAATACATCCTGTGTTTCATACTAGTTTACTGAAGCCTGTAGAACACATTAATATACCTCAACTTGAAGAATCTGTACTAGCTAAAGACACATGATGAAATTGACCAAGTCCTATATTCCCGGATACATAGAAAAGTGTTGCAATACTTAGTGAGATGGAAGGGGTACCCTGAAACAGAGGCAACCTGGGTAAAAGTATCAGATATATGTGCTAACAGACTGATAAGACAATTTCATGTCAAATATCCAGATAAACCTGGACCACAAATAGAGGAATAAGTAGTGATAAAATATATATTGTTTTATAAACTGGTTCCTGATAGAGGGGGACACCTGTCGCGACTACGCAACACATGCATTTGAAATGAAACCCTGTCGATCTGAAGAATGGCAATCTCCTTCATTGGAATAAACTCTATATAATAATAATAGAGTGGTACATTGAAAATGCTGTTTGGTTAAGATATTCGCATTAACCACGATAAATGTGATTGAATTACGATGAGTAATCATAAATAATAATGGTAATCAGGGGTAATAAAGGCAATCATGGATAATAGAAAGTAATGAGGGGAAATCATTATAAATACCGAGTTCCGGGAAACTCGGGTTAGATCTGACTTTATATTATTTTCTTAGCTATTGTCTTGGAGTCCTTGCGGAGGAAGGAATAAAAATGAAGCTTTTGTTTTACCAAATATTGAAGCGAAGTTTGTGTTATTTTCTCCATGCATTTGGCCCAAAGAATAGTTGAGACTTATCTATAATCAATAAAATCTTCCTTTTCCTGAGAACATTTGAGTATATATTTCTAGATCAGACATCATTAAATCATCAGGAAATACATATATGACAAATACTTTGTGTGGTGTATAACAACATTTTATAATTCTCCTTGTCATCAATACACAACATGAAATAAGAAAGAAACCATCTGTTTTCAAATGTATAACAGCTGTTCTTTCCTTGTCTCTGCCTGTACTGAAACTGGATTATTAAATTTCTTCTTTAATTAAACATATTTTGGCAATTAATCAAATTCTGGACGGAAGGAAGGGAGGGAGGACTGGAATTTGTAGTCAAAAATAATAACAATTTAGAAGACATGCATAATGTAATACAGCAAAAATATATAACAGCCCAGTTATTAAACTATAAGCAATAATATTCTAGGTTGATATTGGACACAGAAAAAAGTATAGCATGCATTAACAATTTTTACTTTGCTATCCTTTCTCCCAAAAGTGTATCTACACCAACTAACTACATCTACTTTACTGGAAAAATATAAGGGTTGGGGACTACTGTACTGCATGAGGTGAAATTTTGGTTTTATTTTTTCAGCTGTTATTTATTTATTTGTTGTTTATCCATTATTTTCCCACAGCAACCAACAGCAGGTAGGGTGTCTTAGAAATGGTGACTGATCCAAAGTTATTCAATGAGCTTCTAGAAATGAGGTAAGGAACAAACTTCAGCCTGGGTCGTCTATATTCTAATCCTACAAATGATATCTGACAGGGATATGATACAAATTGAAATGAATTCTATGATTATTCCTCTACACCATTACCTCATCTGCTTAAAGATGCTTAAGGAGGAAATGTGTCTGATGCAATATGAAGAAATCCAAGATGATGACCTTTTTTGTTTATTTTCCATGGTGGCTTCTTGGAATGGGAAATCATCTTAAGTAGATGGAATTATTTTTAAAGTTCCTTCAATACGTTATTGAAAAATAAAGGGCAAAGAAACATCTAGGCCTGTAATGGGGAACCTATGCCATGCATGCCTGAAACGGCATGCTGAGCCATCTCTCCAGGCACACCAGCTGTCGCCCGTTGCTGTTCTAGGTTCTGGCAGGTGTATGCGTGCCAGCCAGCTGGTCTTCACACATGCAGGAGTGCTGGAAACCAGAAAAGCAGGTCCCCAGAGCGCATGCATGCACCGGCCAGCTGGTGTTCATGCATGTGAGAGTGCCGGAAACCAGAACAGCAGCTCCCTGGAACACATGCACATGGTGGCCAGCTGGACTTTGTGCACAGATGCACATTAGAAACTGGAAGACCAGGTGGCTGGCATGAATGTGCATGCCAGGAAGCTAAGCTTCTGGTTTCTAGCACTCCCATGCACACAAGTCAGGGAACTGCTCTTCCGGTTTCCAGCATGTATGTGTGCACTCCCGTTTCAGCATTTGGTGCCAAAAAGGTTAGCCACTATTGATCTAGACAGTAGTAGCTCAAATGCATTGCTTTTTTGTCTCTGATTTTTGCAGAATACATGGACAATAAATACCTTGCTATAGTAGATAATAAAGGGCCATACAGATATTCTATCAAAATTATGGTGCTGGTCAACTTTAACATCTGATCTTTATAAGCACTCAACCAGATTCCTTTAGGATTAGTCATCAGCAGAAAATCAGCATGTCAGAGAAGTATCTAGAAATCTGCAGACATGTTTTGAACAAAATAAGACTTTCTGGCTGTCTCTTTTTCTTGCTTTTGGTCTTTATTAGTTAGTTTTTATATGCTTTGTAAAAGTTTAATAAAAATGGATATATACAGTAGATAAAAAGTAGAAATCTTCAGACAAGATGGTTCAGGCTGTACTTTTGTTACCATGAGAAAAAAAATGTAGAAATGGACTCAGAAAGAGAGGGGGGGAGGGAAGGAGGGGGAGGGAAGGAGGGGGAGGGGGAGAAGGAGGGAGGGAGAGAGAGAGGGAGAGAGGGAGAGAGAGAGGGGGAATAATTTATCTGCAATTATTTTGCAGGTTTTATGTCCAGATATTGTGAACTATGTTATAGATAAGGAAACACCTTGAACAAAGATTTGTAAACTAAAATCCCCCTTCCCCCACCGAACAAAAAATGATTTCCTTGCAAATTTAAACAATGCTCAAAATATATGTAGATGTTCACACATATTCCTTCCAAAATTGCCAAGTTCAGGTAGGATATTTTGAAAAATTGCATTGTTATATCAAATGTAGAGAAAGAACCTTCAAGTTGTACAGTATGTATGAAAATTATTCCTTCTTATCTTACTGAAATTTACAAAACAACTGAACGTGTAACTAATTTGCAGTAAACTTTAAAAAAAATAATTTTGTATGTTTGTGTGTACATTTTCAATGTATTATGTCAAGTATTAATACTTTGCTGTTTACTTTGCTGTTCATGTCACCAGAAAAACTGTCCAGAATTTTTAATGGCACTTCAAATTTATTTTAGAAATGTAATCAACAAAAAGGGGAAAAGGCATTTTATCATACTCGGCGGATGTGTAAAATAGTTTGAACATTTCAGAGACAAGTACATATAATAATACAGAAATTTTTGAGGATTAATAAGCAATTTAAGCCAGAACTTTTGTGACTCATGAATAAGCAAATGAGGAAAAATAAATGGAACTTTGTTTCTGTATACTACAACTACAGCAAAACTATTATTTGCACAAAAGTGGATTTGAATTTACCCACAGCGGAGGAATGGATGGTGATGAACTTGTTGAGATGGCCAAATTGATGGCTTTAATTAGAGGTAAAGCACTGTTTAAATCAGTGGTGGATTTCAAAGTGGTTTACCATCGGTTCAGTGGGCGTGGCTTGGTGGGCGCGCTTTGCACGCATGCACATACTTTGTGTGCGTGTACCAAAAGCTCACTTTGCGCATACACAGAGGCTTTCCTACTCACCTCCTGCAATCCTGCACTCTCCCTGTGGCTTCAACAGCTGATGTGCGGCAATCTGCTGCACTGCGCAAAGCAGCTGAGCTTCAAAAGCAGGGAATAAAGATATCTTTCTCTCTCCTCTTTTTATCATAAATATTAGTTTTTGATAGTTTTATTTTTTCATTTTAAAATGTTAATAACATCATATAAAAAAGAAAATAAAGCTGACTCAGCAAGCTAGTACCCATTAAAATAATAGACATTTTATTGGTCAGTTACAAAATTAGATTTATTTTCAGAATTGAATAACTTATACATGGAGTGGGGATTGATTTTTGATATATAATGTGGCAGGAGGCCTATACTACAAAATTGTAACAACCCCCAGTAATATTTGTTCCCTGCTCCTAAACACAATACAACATGTTCCTTGTTTCTCTAGAAAGCAAGCAGGAATCGGTTCATAGAAATTGCAGAAAAGCAACCCTGTTGATGTTCAACGGTAGCATAGGCCTTCTTTGGAGATAAAAGGCCATGGAAACAGTTAACTGGAAGTTGGACCGCCAGGCAAGAATGCTACAGTTCAGGTGAGAGCAACCTGCAATTTTTCTTGTTACCTGTCTTCCAACTTTAAAAAAACTGGGAGCTCTTCCACACCTTTTAATGTTTTCTCTTTAATTCTAGTCAGCATAGCCAAGGAGACAATATCATAACTTGCAAAAGTAACTTCCAAGTTTTGTAGAAATAAAATGAAGCTTTTTTTGGGGGGGGGGATTCCAAGGAAATAGTGATTAAAAAACAACAGACAAAATGAACATGTTCTATTTTCATGAATTGCTAAATGTTTTTTTTGAAAAGGAGAGAAGGGAATAGATAAAACCAGACAGAAGGTACAATGAAATGACGTGGTAGAATAGTAGTACCCCACATTAGTACAAACATCATTTTTTTTCTTACTTACACCAACTTTTATTTGCTATTTTGTTACCAATGAATTCTGTCTGGAAAATCTGTCTGGACACCTTTCTGATCGTATTTAGGAATTTGCTATTGTAAATCACATTGGTTTTTTTTTTTTTAAGAACTTCTCTTTTATCCAGAATCTGTTTCCTGTTTTTCTTGCCTAACTTCAGATAATACCCTTGACATTTGGTGCTTTCCATAAAGCACCAAAAGTGGGATTGTGGGAAAACATTTCCTTCAAGAGATACCATGCACTGCATCTTGGATCAGCATGGACATTCGACAGCTTTACAAAATATATTTTAAAGAACATAGAAATTCTTTTTAAGATTCCTATTCTTGCCAAAAAAAAAAAAAAGACTAGAAAGAAATAATTAACTGTGATAATCATATGGAGGAGACTAGACCAGGCTTCATTTGGATTTCTCACTCAGGGACTGAAGTGTGATATTTTACTTGGCTGAAGAAAATAGAAGATCATCCTGCAAATTAGATCAGCTTTCTTTTAGTTTTTACCATGTCAGTAATTGCTTTCAAGGATAAAATTCTAGGACAGAGGTTATATCTAAAACATGTTAGTTTTCCCAAGCATTTTGTCCTTTTGATTGCTATTTTCTTTATGCATGTCATAAATTATCCTTATTTCTTATGCTCTGAATATATGGTCATCTTTGTAAAATCAGCACTGTCGGGAAATCAAATATTATGGGCATGTAGTCATTTTATTTGGAGATAACTTTTTAAATCTAACATAACAATACTTAGTCAAGCATATGAATCTCTTATTTTCAGTTTTTCTTCCCCCTTAATTACACCTTGTCAAATTCTTTCCAAATTAGTGCCTTCTCTCTTCATCATCAGCTAGATTGACTAATTAATCAGTGGAACTGCTTGGTCCTCCTTTCCGAGTTGGGAGTGCTCCATCACTGGAGGTTTTCAAGAAAAGATTGGACAGCCATTTGTCCTTGATGGTCTCAAAAACTCCTGGCTTGAGCAGAGAGTTGGACTAGATGACCTCCAAGGACACTTAAAGCCCTATGATTTTGTGATCAAAAACTGAGATTGGGGACTTGTGATAAATAAAAGTAATATTTGGGCCAGATTTTTGTTGTATAAAAACAATTATTAAAACAAATATAAAATTGAAACCACTATTTGTTCTTTTATGGATAAACAACTTGAAAGAAAATTTGGATTTTTTAAAAATTATATACAGTATGTTGACTGCACTGAAAATCCTATCTGTACAAAAATGGACACATCTATAGAGATGGCAAAGTGACTGCTTTAATTAAAGAAAATGACTTATCCAGTTTTGCTTCCACTTGGAAACCATTTCTGGACTTTATGTTCAAAACAGAAAAAATATAACCTGATTTTAGGTTTTAAATAAAATCTATTGCTATAGAAATGGGTAGTACTTACTAAACGTGTAAAACAAAATGTTGAAGTTGTAACTGTGTTTTTTATTCTTCTGCACCTGTGGTGGGATTCAAATTTTTTTACTACCGGTTCTGTGGGCATGGCTAGGGTGTGACAGGGGAAGGATACTGTAAAACCTCCAATCAGAGGTGGTCTTTCCCGGTTCTCCGAACTACTCAAAATTTCTGCTACCAGTTCTCCAGAACTGGTCAGAACCTGCTGAATACCACCTTTGTTCTGCACTGAAAAAAGTCAGAGGCCACTGTTTTGTTTTTTCTTTACCTTGCATTTCCTTTTCTTCTTCCACTTTTCCAATTCTCTGATATTTGTTTTCATTTTTTATATTATAATAAAATGTAATAAAAGAGAAAAGAAAAAACCCAAAATGGTGAGATTAATTTTCAGTATAAATCTGCTCAATTTTCAGACCAGTGAAAGTTAGCAAAAGGGAGGATTGGTCAAGTCTTTTTGGGGGGAGGAGGTAATTGACAAGCAAAAAACAAAGCAAAACAAAAAATCTCTCTTAATTTTTTCATATTCTTTCCTGGTTATTGCTGAAAGTTCCTAATTCCCAGATGTATAAATTAGATAGCAAATAATTCATGAATACATCTTTGTGATGCTTCCAAATCCCTTAAAATATTGTGCAGATTCCTGCTTCAAACATTATTAACCATTTGAGCCAAACTGTGCAAGGTTAAATCACCTGGCTTTAAAAAAAAGGAAAAAAATATCAAAAAGGAAAAAAAAGTGAAGAAATTCAAAGTTTTCCTAACATGCTACTGTTTTTTCACATGCTATTACTCTCAAAATAGCAAAATATCATCATAGGTTTTAGTTTTAGAGAGTGAAAAATACATTTTACAGATGTTGACATTTCTGTCCACATCACACATTATTTTTCATCACTTGCAGTGCAATCTCATCCATTATTGTTCAGTAGTAAGTCTCCTGGGTTGCTCAACTTCATGCCTCTATATGTACCATCCATCTATACTTCAGTTTGAAAAATTGTATTAATTTAATATATTAAGCATTAAAATCACTCAATGCATCAAACCTACTTTGAGGCTTTGTGGACCCTTTTTTTCTCTCCCTGTGGGGTAAAAAAAGGATTAGAAAGCTATGATTTTAAGATCCTAACCATAATAATTTATCATTTTTCATTTAATTGTGCATAAAATATTACTTTTCAATAAATTAATCTTTAGATTTGACATTTGTTGTGTTTTATATACAGTTTTTCTGGTTTACTTGCCTAGTCTTCATTGTTGGTTCTCTACATTTGTTTTTGTCTAGACTTTGGCTTTTTGATGAAAGTAGATTATTTTATCGTTTTGGTTAGCCTGTGCCTGTTCTAGGACAGTTCACTTTGCTTTGCTTCCTTCTATTCCAATGCTCCTCCAGCTTTTGCAAATGTCAAAGAAGCTACAAGGCAATTCCAAAGGTACTTTTTCAAGAGGCAACTGGACTTGCTGTTTTTTCCTTGAAGACATTTTACTTCTCATCCAAGAAGCTTCTTCAGCTTTGATTGGATGATGGGGAAGAGCTGAAGAAGCTTCTTGGATGAGAAGTGAAATGTCTTCAAAGTAAAACCAGAAAGTCTAGTTGCCTCTTCAAAAAGCACATTTGGGATAACCATGACCTGGATGACTGAGAATCTCCATCAATATTAAGCTACAAGACAATACAAGGTGACTCATGAAGCCGAATTAAATTCCTTCTTTCTGTTGAAAAGAATTTGTTGAAGTCATATTATTATATCAGGCATTTTTCCAGTACAGTATTTTTATTTCCTTTGGTAATTACTTCAGCACAATGAAATTGTGAAAAATAAAAAGGCACAATGAACAATGTATTTCATGCAGTTGCTAAGGTTCCTGTTTCTGTTTATGAATGTTATGATCTCTTAACACTTATTGTATCAATATGGCTTAGAGTTAATACTTATTGCATCAAAATGGCTTAAAGTTCGACTGGATTTGCAATTCCAATTATTCTAGAAAACTTGTCTGGGGTCATAAATGCAATTTCTTCTCTTAGAGCTTATACTACTCTTATTTTACTTGGTCAAATGTCACAATAGTTTGTCAGTTTATCAGTGTGAAATGATGGAAGGTAAACCTTATAACACAGCTTATTAGTCTCTGGAGCTTTCTATCCTAAATTATACTGTGGAATTTGGGTTGAATAGCTTTCATTTTCTTCTCTGCCTGCTTCTAATATTGCATTAAGATTGTAATTTATCCCTAATTTTTTAAAATAGTTCTTTTTTCAAGAAAAAAACCTCCCTGTATTTCTTTTGCTTTATTCTGATTTATTTAATATCAGTAGTTTTTCTTGTGCTAAAAACTTTAGACCAGGGATGTCAAACTAATGTGGTCACAGTGGCATCACATTACATATTGGGACTTTTTCCCCTTCCCTAAACTGGTGGGGGGGTGGCCAGTGAGTGATGCATCTGGCCCATGGGCCAGGATTTTGACAGCCCTGCTTTAGACAAGGAGAATCTACTGCTATTAAACAAATTGTCTAATTTGTCTAATGTTTTTATCCCTAACCTTAACAATGTGATTTCCTATGATGCATTTTTTGTTTTGTTTTAATTGCAAATCTTTGCATCCTTTCAAAATGAACTATGCTTCTTGTTCTTAAATAGCTCCATGGTAGATGTTTTGTTAAGTTTCCCCTAATGTTTAATGTATTTAATGAACAAAGAGCCAGGGATGCTATAGGCTGCTGTAACACTTATACCTGAACTATAAAAAATGGTGATAGTGAAGGCAACCAAATTATTCCACTTCAAATGAATTAACTTTCCCAGGAGAAATAAGCTACCAGAACAACCACAGAAACATTATACATAAAGAATGTTGATTAAAACACTAGGGGATAGAAACAGTGCTAGGAAGCAACAGAGTTTAGAGATAACACCCAGCACAGTAATACATCAAGAGTAAATCTTATTCAAAGAACACAATTTCTTTTCGCCTATGTCCTACAAGCTATTTTCTTCATAGTACTACCTTCATTACCTCACAGTTCTGCCACAGCTACCACACTAATGTGCTACTATATTCAGTCAAATTATGCTGCTGCTATAACTTGTCAATTATTCTGCTCTATTCAGTGTATGTGCGTATGTATATTTATATGTACTGTATATAGGTTTGTGTGTATGCTTATGAATATGTGCACATATTTGTGCATATGTA